GCCGGCCTCTCCTGGGGAGGCTGCTGCTGCCGAAGCCCCAAAACCTCCCTCGCGCCATGAGACAGCCCCGGGGCTGCAATTAGCAGCTGAACTCACAGAGCGCGGGGTGCAAGGGGCCTTTCCTGGGCTGCTGTCCGCCGGTGGCGGGGACGCCCAGCCGGGATGAACCACCCCCCGTCCCCGGGCACTTACCCAGATGGCAGCGGATGCGGATGTTGGTGGGTCCGTAGTGCTCGGCGATGACGGTGCCCGGGCTCAGCACGGAGATGCACGCATTCCCAAAGACATTGTTGCCAATGCAGGTGCGAAGGCTGCCGAGCAAGCGGTACGTCCGTGGGCATCTCCTGCAGTTCCTGGGCACGCACATGCCCTGGTTCACCAGGTAGAAGGTGAACCACTCCCCGCTGGGCGTGCTGTTCATTTTCCATCCTTGCGGGAGGCTGCAGTTTGAGAAAGCTTTGTAGAGGGTCTCAAACTCGCACAGGATGGTCTGGAAGTTGCGCTCCAGCAACTCCACGTCGTGCTTTTGAGCGTCCCGGGAGAAATAGGGCATGGTGGGCAAGTCCGGCAAGAAGAAGACTTCTGGCTTCTGGATGGACGGCCGGCTGTTGAGGTAGCGGCCCTGCTCGCGGATGCCCTTGTGGATCCTGCCCATGCCGGACCAGGAGTAGCGCTTGGCGTACTCCTGCAGGTTGTGGTAGAGTTTCTGGTTGAGGCCGTCGTGGTGCGTGCAGCGCACACACTCGGGCGAGTGGCAGTAGACGTACCCGTTCTGCACGCCGTTGGCCTCGGCGCTCTGCATCAGGGCGTTGACGGTGGCGTAGGCGCGGGGCTGCTCCCGCCCCACGTGGTAGCAGTACCACACGAAGAGGACCAGGAGGCAGGCGACGGCGGCGAGGGCGGTGGCGTCGCAGTCCCGGAAGGACTGGATGCCCGTGGCGATGAAATCCCGGAGGCCGTCCAGGGACCAGCTCCAATCCATCAGCCACTCCAAAGACATGGTGGTGCAGCGGGGGGCGGGGGCGC